CCAGTCACACTAGTTTAACGTCCATTTTACAGCCACGAGCCACGTTTTTGAACATTAAAGTGAGTATATTAGGAAAAGTCTCTCCACAGAGTGAATCATGTGTAGACGATGGTCCTGGTGTGTCTACGAGTTCTGACCAACCCAACCCCCGACACCAAATCAGTGTTTCTGCTAGCAAGCGGCTAACGTAGCCAAACCAAATGTTCATGGTTAAAACTTAAGGATGTCTGAAGCCTGATCGCTGGTAAACATCTGGAGGCAACGCCCAACTCTGTTGGCATCTGTGGTCACACATCAATCAATCAATCAATCAATCAATCAATCAATCAATCAATCAATCAGTCAAAGTTTATTTATGTGGCCCTTTCAGTGCTTCACAGCGACAACAAGAGAGTAATTTAAAAACAATAAACACAACAGAAATGACAGTAAAATAATGAAAACAAACTACAAAAACAACCCCACAAACCCACTGGAACACACGTCTGATAGTGTGAAAGCCACGTCCACACAAAGGTTTTAAGCTTTGATTTGAAGGTCATGAAACGCAAAAAACGCATCGAGGACGGAGGTCTGATGTGTTAATAGGAAATAAACTCATGATCCCACGTTATCGCAGCTCAAGTCTGAACTTGTTGAAAGTCAACCGGCTTCATACGAGTCTCCTGGACGATCAGCAGGTGCTAAATAATAAAGACTCACACAATAAAGCCTTCATCCTGACACGCCCACTGTTCATTTAACCAATAATTAGTTAACTGATTGATGAGGCTGCTGACTACTGATTAAGAAAACTGTTGCATCCCTGTTCCTGCACTTTCAGGAAGAACCTGAGCAGTGATTGGTTTTTGTGCAGCAGCTCTCTGGGACTCCAGACTCTGATTTCTGAGGTGGACAATCAGCTCATGTGTCCTTAATGTTCTGGTGTTGAAACCCATGAAAGGCTCAGCCCGGTGTGTTCATCCCAGGTCGCTGCAGCATCAGCTTCACGTCTCTAATAGCGTTTATCTTCTTCCATTAGAAGCCAAACTAACCGTTGACCTTCAAACTCAGAACTCTAAATGTTCAGCTCGAACTTTGCCGTCAAGTTTTACATCCAACGTGTCGACCGAGTGATGCTGCGTCGGAGTCAGACGATATCCGCCGCCTCCTCCTTCTGCTGCAGAGCCACTCCGAGATCCAATCACATGTGTGAATGTCACACCAGTGTCGAGTGTCAACACGCGTGTGGACACCATTAAGTTCCAACCAACACATCCAATTACACAAGCCTAATGGGAGAGACAGCTGTGACCTTGACCCAGCAAAGCCCTTTAGAGTGAGGCATCGTGACATTTCCCTGAGTTTCCTCTTACATATTTTTATCAGTAAACAGCAAGCGGCTCCAGATTAATGCCTTCTGGTGACGAGCAGAGGAATCAAAGGCCTCCTGCAAGGCAAAAAACTGGGCACAGGCGAGGAGGCGGCGTAAAATCTGAAATCAGGACGCTCAAGTTGCTCCAGCAGGAAAACTGTCAGAGCGGCGAACGCTTCTGAATCCCAGCAAACATCAATTAGAGGCTGTTTAGCTTTTTCAATATTTAACTGATGAGATTCACAGAAGCTCAATGTGGCCTGATGCAGTCATTTTCAGCTCTGCTCTTCTGAGAGAAACGGTTGAAATAAGCCGACTGAGAGCATCCGGGCCGGTTCTGTTTCAGGTCCACAACTCAGAAGGTGTTTAATCCTGAATCAGCGTTTCAGTTCAGAAACAGCCTGGATCTCAGCTGGATGTAAACGGAGTCACCGAGTCGCTGCGTCTGTTGGCTAAACGTGACTGAATAGAACTAACAGTCATTTAATTCAATTAGCAGATAATCTGATTAGGAAGTGGCTCCACACATCTGCAGCATCGATGTCGTGTTTCCTCAGTTTGTGACGTTTAGATTATAATCACTGAAGCCTCCAACGAATCAATACATACACGAAACCAGGATTATTGATCTGCAAATTAGGAAGAAAAGAAAATATAACCAGTGATGCAACGCTAGCGCTAGT